CCAACAAAGAAAAGCCCAGGACCAGATGACTTCACTGGTGAATTCTACCAAACATTTAAAGAAGAATTAATGCCAATCCTTCTCAAACTCTTCCAAAAAACTGAAGATAAGAGAACATTTCCAAACTCATGTTATGAGGGCAGGATTATCCTGATACCAAAACCAGACAAAGAAAACTCCAAACCAATATCCCTGATGAATACTGATGTAAAAATCCTTGACAAGATACTAACAAACTGAATTGAACAGCACATTAAAATGATTATACACCATGACCAAGTGGGATTTGTCCCTGGAATGCAAGAATGATTCACTACCCAAAAATACACCACATTAACTAGCAAAGGACAAAAATCACACGATCATTTCAATTGATGCAGAAAAGGCATTTGACAAAATTAACCATCTTTTCATGATAAAGACATTTAGCAAACTAGAAATAGAAAGAAATTACCTTAACCCTATAAAGGTCATACATAGAAGCCCACAGCTAACCCCTTACTCAAAGGTAAAAAACTGATAGCTTTTTCTTTAAGGTCAGGAACAAAGGAAAAATGCCCACTCCCACCACTTCCAGCTAACATAGCACTACAACTCTAGTCAAAACAATTAGGCAATACAAAAAATAAGTAAAAGGTAGTCAAATTGGACAGGAAGACGTAAAATTATTTCTGTTCATAGCTGACATGACCTTATATAGAGAAAACCCTAAAGATTACACACACACACACACACACACACACACAGCCATTGGGCTGATAAACAAATTCAGCAAAGTAGAATGATATAAAACCAACACTCAAAAATCAGTTGCATTTCTATACATTAACAATGAACAATTCAAAAGGGAATTAAAATAATATTTATAATAGCATCAAAAAGAATAAAAAATACTTGAAGTGAAAGACTTGTACTCTGAAAACTATGAAACATTGCTAAAAGAAATTAAAGAAGGCACAAGTAAATGGAAAGACATCCCATGTTCATGGCTTGGAAGACTTAATGTTATTAAAATGTCCAAAGCAATCTACAGATTCGGTGCAGTTTCTGTCAGGATCCCAATGACATTTTTTGCAGAAATAGGAAAAAAAAATCCTAATATTCATATGGAATCTCAAAGGACTCTGAATAACCAAAACAATCTTTGACAATGAGAAACAAAGCTACAGGCCTTACACTTCCTGATTTCAAAACATATTACCAAGCTACAGTATTTCAAAACATATTACCAAGCTATAAAATCACGGATTTTATGTAGGCATTGACATAAAGACAGACATATAGATCTTGGTGTAAAGACAGACAAAGTAGGTATTAACATAAAAACAGGCATAGAGACCAATGGAGCAAAATAGAGAGCCCAGAAGTAAATCTTTGTAGACATCATCAGTGAAGGAAGGCCAGTCTCTTCAGATGATGCTGGGAAACCTGGATATGCACATGCAAAAGAATGAGCATGGACTCTTACATCACACACAAAAATTAACTTAAAATGGACTAAAGACCTAAATGTAAGACTTGAAACTATAAAATTTCCAGAAGAAAACATAAGGGAAAACTTCAGAACATTGGGCTTGGCAATTCTTTCTTGGATATGACACCAAAAGCACAGACAATAAAGCAAATGTAGACAAACAGGGCTACATTAAGATCCTTTGCACAGCATAGGAAACAATCAATAGGGTGAAAGGACAACCTACAGAATAATAGAAAATCTTTGAAAACCATATACTGAATATATTCAGAAGATATGACGAACTCCTTCAATCCAGTAACAAAACAAATAGCCTGATTGAAAAATGGGTAAAGGAGGGCCCAGATGTCCATCGACAGATGAGTGGATAAAGAAAATGTGGTACACACACACACACACACACACACACACACACACACACACACACACAATGGAATATTACTCAGCCAGCAAAAAGAAGGACCGCTTACCATTTGCAACAGTGTGGATGGAACTAGAGGGTATTATGCTAAGCAAAATAAGTCAATCAGAGAAAGACAAGTATCATATGATCTCACTCATGTGGAATTTAAGAAACAAAACATGAACATAGAGGAAGGGAGGAAAAAATAAAATAAGATGAAATCAGAGAGGGAGACAAACCACAAGAAGCTCTTAACTATAGGAAACCAACTGAGTGTTGATGGAGGGGAGGTGGGTGGGGGAGATAGGGTAACTGGGTGATGGGCATTAAGGAGGGCACTTGATGTAATGAGCACTGGGTGTTATATGCAACTGATGAATCACTAAACTCTACCCCTGAAACTAGTAATATACAATATGTTAATTAATAATTAAATTTAAATTAAAAATAAATAAATAAAAAGAAAAATAGGTAAAGGTCTTGAATAGATATTTCTCCAAAGAAGATTGAGAAAATGGCCAACAGGTGTATGAAAAGATGCTCAACATCACTAATCATCAGGGAAATGCAAATCAAAACCACAATTTGTTACTTCACACTTATGAGGATGAATATTGTATTGGCGAGAATGTGGAAAAACTGTATCCCTTATGCACTGTTTGTGGAGTTATTAAATGGTGCAAACGCAACGGGAGACAGTATGGAGGTTCCTCAAAAATTTAAAGAGAAGTACCATGTTATCCAGCAGTTTCTGGATAACACTTCTGGGTGGATATCCAAAAGAATTGAAAACAAGATCTCAAAGGTATTTGCACACCAATGTTCATTGCAGCTTTAGTCACATCAGTCGAGATGTGTAAGCAACCTAAATTCACCATCCAGTGAATGAAGAAAATGTGGTACATACATACAGTGGAAGATTATTTAGCCTTAAAAAGAAAGAAGGCTACAACATGAATGAACTTTGAGGATTTTATGCTAAGTGAAAAAAGCCAATTACTAAAAGAAAAATACTGTACAATTCCACTTACATGACATATCTGAAGTCATCAAACTCATAGAAACAGAAAGTAGAATGGTGGTTTTTGGGGGATGGAGGGAGGTGGGTAATGGGGAGTTGTTCAATGGGTATGCAATTTCAGTTGTGAAAAAGTTTCAGAGATCGGCTGTACAACAATGCGCATACACTTAACAATACTGTACTGTTCTGTATTGTCCCAGCAAAACTTGTTAAGAGGGGAAAAAATATTTACTAGTTTATAAAGTCCCCGGCTGGGATGCTCTGCCTTGCACTCATAAGATTAGCAGATGAAGGGGTCGGCAAACATTATAAAAGCAAAAGTAGGAAGTCCCCAACTAGTGGTCAGTTGAAGTGACCCGGGTTTGGCAGCTATTTCTTCCTATATCTGGAACTCCAGCTTGAAAAAGTGTGTTAACAAAGTTAGTGAAGTGTGAAGAAAATCTACTTTATTTCTATATACCAAGAACAAACATGAAAACTTAAAAATTATACAATTTGCATTAGCATAAAAAAATCAAATACTCTAATGAACTCTACTCGGGACCTCTACACAGAAACCTACAAGATATTAGTAAGATAAATTTTTAAAGAGACAGATAAATAGAGGGACATACATGTTCATGAATTAGAAAATTTCATATTTTAAAGATGTCTGTTCTCCCCAAATAGAACTAAAGTTTCAACGAAATCTCAAGTTTCAAGAAAAACCCCAGCAAGATTTCCTTTGGTGGAAATTGACAAGCTAGTGTGAAAATTTATATAGAAATGCAAAGAACTGAGAAGAGTTTAGACAAATAATATGGCATTGTTGCAAGGAAAAATAAACTGACCAATGGAAAAGAACTGAGGTCAGAAATAGACTCACATTTATCGTCACTTGATTTTCAACAAAGGCACTACTGCAAAGTCATGGAGAAAGCATGATTTAAAAAAATGATGGTAGATTAATTGGATATTTATATGGGAAAAAATAAATCTTGACCTGCCACTTCACATCATGCATACAAACAAACCAGATATTTTGTAGACCTAATGTGAGGGGTAAAACAATAAAGCTTCTAGAAGAAAACAGAGAATAATATTTTCATGACCTTAGGGCAGACAACACTTCCTAAACAGTACACAGAAAGCTTGAGCTGTAAAGAAAAAGACTGATAGATTGAACCTCATTAAAATTAAGAATTTTTGTCCACCAAAAGATTTCATTAAGAGAATGGAAAAGAAACTGAAATGGGAAGAGATTATATCTGTTTCTATAAATCTATATCTGTATGTTTCTTTTATATAACTATATATAATCCTTGTATTTTATATAGTTGCATATAATATATGTAATATGTATAAAATTATAAAATATATGTTATACATATAATTTATACATATCTGTGATCTATGTAACATATATATATATATATATATATATATATATATATCCAGCATATCTAAAGACCTCCTACAAAACAACAATAAACAACACAAAACTCAATTTTGAAAAAATGGACCAGGGGCGCCTGGGTGGCTCAGTCGTTAAGCATCTGCCTTTGGCTCAGGTCATGATCTCAGGGTCCTGGGATCAAGCCCCGCATCGGGCTCCCTGCTCAGCAGGAAGCCTGCTTCTCCCTCTCCCACTCCCCCGGCTTGTGTTCCTTCTCTCGCTTTGTCTCTCTCTGTCAAATAAATAAATAAAATCTTTAAAAAAAAAAAGAAAAAATGGACTAAAACCTTAAAGAGACATTTCACCAAAGAAGACATCCAAATGGCCAATAAGCATAGTAAGAGGTGCTTAAAACATGACTCATCAAGAAAATGCAAATTTACTCTCTGTGTGATATCACCACACATCAACTCAGAAAGGCTAAAATGAAAAAGACAGACAATTCAGTGCTCGTAAAGGATGCAGAGTAACCCAAACTCTCAATCTCTACTCAGTGTTCTGGTGTGCATGCAATTTGATATGACCACTCTGAAACACTTCTGCTGAACAGAATCCCACTTCCAGGCTATGCATCGAAGAGAAACATGTACATCTGTACACAAGCAGATGTGTGCAGAGACGTTCACAACAGCATCATTTACAACACCCCAAACTGGAAAGAACTCACGCTTTGGTTACCCCCCCGTGCCTTCTTTCCCTCACGCATGATTCAGGAACAGGATTGCTGAATGTCTCAGGTCAATCATCATCTCCAGTGGGGCCTGGGCAGGGCTTGGGGCTTGAAAGTGAAAGGTAAGGCTGGAGTGCAGTAAAAGTAAAATGACCCGTTTCCCACAGGGACCAAGAAGAAATGAGGTGGGTGAAGAGGGACTCCCCAGCCATGCCAGAAACAGGAGGCAATAGGTCGCCAGAAGGGGAAGTGTCAAGACTGAGGGACTTCCCGAAAGGGAACCCAGAAGAAAGGGCTCCATTTATCCCTGGTCTTCAGGGACTTCTGCCCACCTGCCCTCCTGCTGTTCTCCTCCCTGATCTCTCCAGTATCCAGCTGGGGCACCTCCAACCCAGTCCTCATTGCAGCTGGGTCGTTCTGTGGCTCCCTGTTGCCCTTCAGAGAAAACCTCAAATTCCTTAGCCCGACATTCAAGACATTTCAGGATCTGCTCCCCAACATTCCGTCTGACCCCCAGTATCCATCCTGGACTCCAGGTATACCAGATGCCTGATAGCTTCCCCAACATCCCCATTCACCCTGCTTCCACACCTTAGCACGTGCTCTTTCAGCCACCAAAACTCTCTACGGTCTGCGGTAGACTGCAGCCTCCCACTCAGTCTTCAAAATCCAGTTCAAATGACGTCTCCTCTGTCAGTCTTCAACCTCTCCAAAGAGTATGAGTCACTCTTTCCTCTGGGGTCCAGTCTTCCACCAGAGCACACTGCTCAGGGTGCTTTCAGCGACATTCTGAGCAACAGCCAGGCGGGGACTGTGTGTCTCTTGGTTACTGCTGAATCGCCAGTGGTTAACCAGCACCTGACACCCCGTAGATGCTCAAAGTTTCTGTTACATGAGTGACTAAATGAAAGGGAATGCTTTCGATCATAATGGATTTTGAAGTCTACCCTCAATGTTAAAACCCATGCAAACTATACACTCCAAAAGTCGATGTTATTCTTTTTGACTCCTCTCTCTTAAATTTGGTGCACTGAGGATCTTGACCTACTTGATAAGGATAAAAGTTCCAGGGCTCCATCTTTCTCCCTTCACTGCAGGGCCTTTGCACATGCCATTCCCTTGGTCTAGAACATTTTTCCTCATGCTTCTTTGCTTTCTCGTCCCCTGGTTTCGACGTCTATGTCGCCTCCTCAAAGAGGCAATCACCACGTGTCCCCTGCAATTCTCTGGGCCACACATCTCTTTGTTTCCTTCCTCGCAGTTGTGACATTAGAATTAATTTAGTAAGTGTTTCTGTTTTTGTTGATGACCTGTCTCCATCAAGGAGCATAAGCTCCCAGAGGCTGGGAAATTTGTCAGTTTTGTTCACAAAAGGAAGTGTCCCTAGTGTGTGGAGTGGGCCCTGGAGCACTGTAGGTCCTCAACAAGTAGCTGGGGGAATGGCGAATGAACAAACAAGGCTAAGAATTGCTGTGTCCTGGGGCGCCTGGGTGGCTCAGTAGGTTAAGCGTCTGCCTTCGGCTCGGGTCATGGTCCCAGGGTCCTGGAATTGAGACCAACATCGGGCTCCCTGCTCAGCAGGGAGTTTGCTTCTCTCTCTCTCTCCCCCTCTGCCCCTCCCCACTGCTTGTTCTCTCTCTCAAAAAATAAATACATAAATAAATAAGATCTTAAAAAAAAAAAGAAGTGCTGTGTCCAGTCATACATGGAGCAGGCCCGCATGTAGCCCCCACGAGAGACCTCAGTTTCCCCATCAGCTCCATCACACACAGTGCCCAGGAACTTCCTTCCACCCCAAGCAACACCCTCAGCTCCCAGAGTCTGAGCAATCATGCCCGCTATTATCAGATTAATAACAAGGAACTTTCAGAGAGGGACGGTGGGTTCCCCAGGGTCACACAGAAACTTAGCCAAGCAGAGCGCTCAGGCTGAGGAAGAATCAGATTGGTAGCCCTCGACCAGAAAGGAGGCTCTGTCACTAACCCATAGTGGACCCTTAGGCATATCTCTCCCTTTGTTTGGGTCTCAGTTTTCCTCACCTATAGAATGGGGCAGTGCCCTGGCCTGGCCGAGGGGGTGAGAGGCAGGCACACTGCAGGTGTGTGGGGAACATTACTTGCTTCTTACACGTGTTTTTTATTTTCCCAGTAACAAGGAGTGGGTTGTGGGTGTCTGAGGTCGGGTGTGCCAGGACCCTGGGGTCATAGCTTAGTCAGTAGGAGCTGAACATGAGGGGCAGGTCCTAGCCCAACCTCAGGCTGTGACACCTGTCTATATGTTGCTCCCTCCCAGCTGGGCTGGGATTCTTTTCCACGAAGCCTCTCCTAGCCCGAACAAGCCTTCCCTACTGGGATTTCTCCCAGCCTGTGCAACCTCCCCTAGCCGATAAGCATGCCCCGCTCCCAGCAACCGCCCCCTGCCTGTGCATTCTCTACCCGCCCTGCAATCTCCACCGTGCTGGGCAACCTCGCCCAGACTGTGCAACCCCTCTCTGCTCCTCTAGCCACCCCTCCCTCCAGCCCCCTCTCCCCCGGACCAGGACGGGCTGGTTAGAAGGCAGAGAAAGAAGGGATGCTTGTGGCCCTGGCCCCGAGGTGGGGGGTTGGGACAGGCCTGGCGGCCTGCCCTCTATTCCCCCTCCCCTGCCCAGCAGGACCCCACCAGCCTGGCCAAAGTGGGCTGAGTGTTATGGATTCATACTGGAGAAGCTCTGCAGGCCTTGGTCCCAATCTACATGCTCAAGCCCTCTTGGCAGATGAGGGAAGGAGAAGCCCAGAGGGGCCCAGCGCCTTGCCTACGGTCACACGGAGTGAGGAAGCACCAGGGCCTGAGCAGGGAGCCAGGTTGGTGTGCTTGCCCTGGGGACATTTCGGGAGGCCGGACCCTTCCTGGGTGCTGGGTGAGGGGGACCAGCAGGCTGCAAGTGTCCCAGCCACTGGGGGACATCAGCGGGGCCCCTGCCTGCACCCTGGGGAATATTCTCAGGATGTTTCAGAAGTTCCAGGTTTACTCAGATCTTGCATATGAGCTGTCGTAAAAAGTCCCTTTGGCCAGGCGCCAGGGCAAGGAGTGGGGGCGGTGGCACCTGTGAGCCAGAGGTGGGGGTGGGGCCCCTCTCTGCTCCCCCCGGCCTGCCCCCACAGTTCAGCGTGTACTAGAGGGCAAAGACAGGGGAGGAAGGGGCTGGGGGGCAGAAGACCCTCCTCCTTGAAGTGTTTTTTCCTCCTGTCTTCACAGCTGCCTTCCCTCTTCTTGTGACAGACTCCCTGGGTGACACTGAAAACCCTACCCTTCTCTGAGCCTCAGTTTCCCCAGCTGTGAAAGAGAGAGCAGAATCACCATATGAGCTATCATTTCCTGAGGGCTTAGGGTGAGCCAGACACCATGCCCTGTGTTTTGGCAAATAACAAGACGACTGTTACCAACAACATTTCATGTAAACCGTAATTGCTACTATTTCTTGTGAGCCAGGGCTAAGCCCCCTTCCCCTCCTCATGGCGCTGGCCCTGTCTGTCTGCGCCACTGAATCCCCAGGACCTGGGACAGTGCCTGCTGCACAGCAGGTGCCCCAAAAAACACGGGTAGAATAAAACCTCCCAACACACCCGAAATGGATGTTACAGACTGGGAAAGTGAGGCTCAGGGAGCTTGCGTGGCTTATTCAAGGTCACACAGGTACCATGGGGTGGAGCTGGGTCTCCATCCCATCCTGGCTGACTCCAAAGCCCCAAATTGCCATCGGCCGTGTGTTGGTACGCCGGGTCCCAAGCCCCCCACCCGACCACAGAAACCTCCCAGCCATCGCTCCTGCTTGTGGGGATTCCGAAGGCACTGGCTCTCCTCCCTGGAATCAAGGATTCCTTTCATTCATTCATTTATCAGGCGCCAGGGAGAGAGAAGAGGTGCCTCCCAAAGTCTCTGGTGCCCTTCCCCCCTTCCACATCCTCCACTGCCCCCACCCACTGCCCACAAGCCCTTTATGGTCTCCCACCCCCCCCCCCCCCCCTCACTGGGCAGGTGGGAGCCCAGGGCTCAGCCTCTGTCTTGTTCACCCCACCTCTACTGGCCCTGGATTTGGTTGTCCCAACATGAGGGCTCTTAGTTCCCTCCCCTGTGGGGTGGTGAGGACCCAGACACCCTGCCAGGTGTGGAGTGGGTAGAACCCTGCTGAGGCCACCACAGGGGAGCAGGTAATGGCCCTCAAGACAGTGAGTCTTGCTTTTATGCTACCCTGACCAGCAGGTATGGCTCTGCCATCAAGCCGACTGGGGGTCCAAACCCAGCTCTGCATCTTGTGGCCACAGGTGATCTGGGATCCTCAATCTCCTCATCTGTGAATGGGCTGAATGAAGCTCCCAGGCTCGGCTGATGTTGTAAGGATGGTGGGAGACCCTCAGGTGTCAGCAGCATGCTGCGCCCTGGTGCGGGGAGGACCAGAACCATGGAGGCTGCGGGAGGCAGGACTGCAGATTCTCGAATGTGTCCCTGCACCCTCTTCTGCTCTTGGAGACTGGCCCTTTTCGCCATGGGCTTCGGGTTCCTTGTGGTTACAAGCTGCCTTCCTGGGCAGGCCTCCAGCTTTCATATTTTTATGCCCTCCAATCGTCACAACTAGCCCCATGAGGATGGAACAGCCTTCACCCCCATTTTACAGATGAGAAAACTGAGACTCCACGAGGCTGGATGAAGCCCAGAGACTTGCCCACATCCCCCCAGCTAGGGAGTCGCATGGCTGACTTTTGAACCCGCCAGGTTTTCCCCACTCCACCATGTGCTTCTAAAACCCCCACACTTTCCCCCAGGGGAATGCAGATGTCTTCCCAGGAGCAGCCCCTGACTTTTTAATGCTCCCTGCCCTGGGTCTGCTGCTCCCACTGGGCAGCACTGGCCATTCCTTCCACGGGTCCAAGGTTCCCACCGGAGGCTTTTACTCACCCAGCTGCTCTGCTGGGAAAGTGTCTGCCGGCTCCTTCCTTCCCCTCCTTTCCACACGTCAAAATTCAACCCATGCTTCCAGGCTCAGCCTCCCCCTGACCCCTTGCTCCCCTCTCCTCCGTGGGCCCATCCCCTGGGCTTTCATGAGGAAGAGACAGTGTAGAGGACAGGGCCAGCCTCCGAGTCGCCTGCCCACCCTACGACGCACTGGTGAGTCACCTTGGGAAAATCACTCTACCTCTCAGAGCCGGCCCCCATTCTTTCTCCATGAAATGGGTACACCAACCCGTTTTGAGGAGTTAGATGACATAAAAAAGCTAACACATGGAACCCAGCACAAAATCTCTGCCCCTTCCCCCAAAACTGGGCCCCCTAGAAGTGCCACACCATCTCATCGTCTCACCCCTGCCCACTCTGCCCTACTCAGCTGCCCAGAACCGCGGTGACTGAGGCATCGGGTCTGGTCTGGGATCAGGTTTCCTTCCCCACCCCCTGCCTTTTGGAGGCTGGTTTCCACAGACAGCTCAGGGGGTCCTCTCAGCCATGGCCCTGCCTCCAGGCCCCCTGCAGACCGAAAGAACGATCCTGAGGTCATCCTGCGCTGGGCTGAACAGGAGACTCCAGCCCCAGCTCTGCTGGTCTCACTGTCCCAGCTATGCTGAGGGTGAGAAACCCCTTGGTGTCCTCCCACCTCAGGCAGAGAAGGTGTCTCTCCCACGGAGAACAGTGGCTGGAGCCGAGTTACCTGCTGTTCCAGCTTTTCCCTCAGAAATCCATTCTGTGTGCTCGGGGCAATCCAGTGGGCTCCCAGGGGGCGGCAGCTAGGCTCAGCGTGGGGGTGGGGGATGAGAGAGGGAACCGGCAGGGCTAGGGGGTGGGGACCCACAGCCTGCCCCAGTCACCCGCCAGACAAGCATACGACCTGTCACCCCGATGGATGGCAGCCGGGCTCCAGGCAGGCGGGCCACACAGAGGGAGCCAGCTGGGGGGAGGGGGGCGGGGGGAAGACAATGGTCGGTCACATCCCAGGGAGGCCACACGCGGACAGAAGGCAGAGGCTGGGGTAAGGGACCAATCGGCTGCACCAGGGAGGGGACACACGGCGACAAGGGCTGGTCAGGCAGGCAGGCAGACAGACAGACAGACAGGGGAAGTCAAGCCAACCGGCAGATGGCCAGCCAGGCAGACACCCAGAGACACAGACAGGCAGGCAGACAGATGGCCGTATGGCTGTCGGTCACACTCGGGGAGGAGCCGGCAAACAGTCGGACCCCGAGCCCGTGGGTCACTCGGCAGAGAGGCACCAGTGGGTCTGTCAGAGTGTGGCTGCCCCGCGGCCGCGTGTGCAGGGTGGGGAGGAAGAGGAGGATGTGGTGATCAGCTCCCCGCAGGCCCCGCCCACACAGCCGCTGGCCCCTCCCCGGCCGAGTGAGAAAGCGGTGGGAGGGGGCCAGGCCTTAGGGCAGAGCCCTCTGATCACCAAAGGTCACCCGCTAGGAAGACATTTGGGGCCAACTGGGTGATATGGCCTCTTGCGGATGGCTGACATCCCCCCAGGCTTCACGGTCATGACCAAGGAGA